TGTTGGGGGCAATATGCTGACTCTGTAAACCGCTTAGAGAGGGCTGAAAGCCCTATGAAGCGGTATATAAGTCTAACTGCTAGTGCTATTGCTATTGCAGGTTTTATCCTGTTGCGAATTCAGCCACTGTAGAGGTTGCAAAAGGAGATATTTTTTTATCTTGTCTGCCTGCCCCGAAGTCGCCCAGTCAGCTTCACACCTAAAATTGGACTAGAACTCACCGACACCTAGTAAATGGCCCAAAGTCACCCAGCTGGCTTTCATGGCTAAGGCGGAACTAGAACTCGCCATCTCCTGGTGATTGGTCCAAAGTCACCTAGCAGGCTGTCATAGCCAAGGCGACACCAGAACTCACTGACACCTAGTGATTGGCCCAAAGTCACCTAGTAGGCTTTCATGGCCAAGGCGACACTAGAACTCACCGTCTCCTGGTGATTGGCCCAAAGTCACCCAGCCGGCTTTCATGGCCAAGGTGGCACCAGAACTCACTGTCTCCCGGTTTTTAGCCTGATGCCTTAACCACTAGATCAAATCGGATCGAGGCAATGTATGTAAGGCTACCATCTTAGACTCCATGGAAATAAACATTATTTATTTATTACATTTAAATGTGAGATGCCACGATGATTCCACACCAAGTCCCATCATCCCCAATGGAATTGATGTGCCGTGCAGGGCCCAAAGCCTTTCCTTCTCTCTTTTATTTCAACCCACGAGCAGGAAGGCCTCGCCTATCACTTCAACCGGGGCTACATTGACGACAATGCATTTAAACTGGTGACTGAATCAGCCCATTTTCCGCCTTCCTACCACGTACTGAGGGAGGGATGAACCAATGGATAAACCACTCTACACACACACACACACACCGAACAACCGCAACCAAGCTAACTGCGCGCTGGGAGTGCTGCGAAGCACGGATATTTTTGTCTGGTTATAATTATCTTGATTAAGTACGCTGCAGTGAAGGCAGGCATCAAACACTTCAGAATGACTCAAGCCAGGGATGGAAGCTGCCAAGAGTGGGTGAACGCCACCCTTCTGGAGATGGCCCAAACCTTCTCCTAGGAAACGGGCGACCTGGGGCAGTTTTGCGCCTCTAAAGAAACTTGTTCTAACCTAGGCTTCCACAAAAAGCCCGAAGCAGAGTCCTGGTCCCGACAAAACCCATTTATTAAACGAATGTGAATTCCTCTCATTCCCATTCAGCTAAGGCCTGGCAAACAGTCTTTCAAAGGCATATTTATGACCACAGACCTTATCTAGCTTGGAAAGCTGCCATGTGAATATTTCCCAAATAGCAATAGCAGTTAGACTTATATACTGCTTCATAAGGCTTTCAGCCCTCTCTAAGCGGTTTATAGAGTCAACACATCGCCCCCACAGTCTGGGTCCTCATTTCACCCACCTTGGAAGGATGGAAGGCTGAGTCAACCTTGAGCCGGTGAGATTTGAACCGCTGAACTGCAGATAACAGTCAGCAGTACTGCACCCTAACCACTGTGTCACCTCGGCTCTGTATGAGGTGTTGTGCAAGGAAAGACTCTGGGAACAGAGTCTCTGAGATTCACAGACAGATCTTCACACTCCTGAAACGAATCTAACGACCGAACGAACGAATTGTTTCCTGCAAAAGCCCACTCCCCTTTCGCTCCTCTTAGTCCTATGGGAGGGGCCATTCACCTTCCACCTGTGACGAGTTGATCCTTGTTTCTGGTTGTTCTTTTCTTCTGACAGCTCTGCGCATGCACACACTGGGAACAGGCTCCAGCTGTTTGTCTGCCTCACTGATGTCTGACTCTGAAGGCAGCTGATAACTGGCATATGGTTCTGGCCCCCTCTCTGCCTCCAACACAGAGCCCTCCTCAGAGCCTTCCCCAGACTCCAGGACTGGCCCAGTTTCCTCCCCAACCTCCCCAGTGTTTGAGTCTACCACCAGCTCTGCTGGTGGGCCACAACAAAACTTTAAGACTGCCCTGCCAAGCCAGGATGACCGCAAGGCAAGGGGACGCTGGTCAGATCTTAACAGTCTGGCGAAATGGCACCACAAAGAGATGACTGCTTGGATTGAACCCTTGCGGATTGCAGCAATCAGCCCTGATGGCAGAGAATCTATCTTGGTTTACCTGCACAGAAATTTCCCCAGCCTTTCCTAGGCCCAAACTGCTCAGGCTGGTCTTTTAAGGCCCTAAATTTGGTCTAGTGGTGAAATCTCCAAGCTAGAAAGTGGGAGACGGTGAGTTCTAGTCCCGCCTTAGGCATCAAAGCCAGCTGGGCGACTTTGGGCCAATCACCAGGAGACGGTGAGTTCTAGTCCCACCTTATGAAAGAGAACTAGCTGGATGACTATGGGCCAATCACCAGGAGACGGTGAGTTCTAGTCCCGCCTTAGGCATCAAAACCAGCTGGGTGACTTTGGGCCAATCACCAGGAGACTGTGAATTCTAGTCCCACCTTATGCAAGAGAACTAGCTGGATGACTGTGGGCCAATCACCAAGAGACGGTTGGTTCTAGTCCTGCCTTAGGCATCAAAACCAGCTGGGTGACTTTGGGCCAATCACTAGGAGATGGTGAGTTCTAGTCCCGCTTTAGGAATAAAAGCTGACTGGGTGACTTTCGACCAGCCCCCCTCTCTCTCTCTCTCCCAGCCCAACCCATCTCAGAGGGTGATGTTGTGGGGAAAATAGGAGAGCATGCTGGATATGTTCACCACCTTATTTATACAAATAAAGGAGGGATACAAGCAGATAAATAAACTGTGTAAGCCCCTAATTTATGTATTAAAAATTATTACATTTAATTAAAATTTATGTATTAAATTTATTTATTAAATCTCACTATCCAAGCAATTCGCAATATACTTTGAAGCAGCTCTTTTTCCCACCCCAATCTACCTGCATGCCAATATATTAGCCAGTTGATCTTTTTCATCCAATATTGCTTCCCTGATGGGATCAATTTATTTCAGCCAGGCTGTTCCCTGATATAAAACACTTCTCCCACACTAAACTGAGAGGATATCTATCAAGAAAGCTGCATCGCAAACTTTGGCTGCAGCCCCAGGAGCTCTCCAAAAGTTACCACCGAATTTTATTTCTTTTCTTTTAATGCAACATAAGATGGAAACCGTCATAATATGTGCATCATAAGCAAAAGGGGTTTGAAGTTTACATTCAGTCAAACGTTAAGTTTTTCTGTTGGATATTTTGCAGGCTGTGCCCAAATATATCCAGCAAAAGGAAGATTTGTCTATCTTAACCACGGCTGGGTATATATCCCTGCTTCAAAATCCCGGGGGGGGGGGGGAAGTAACTCTTCAATCCAGGATTTCAAAACTTTTGCAAGCATTTGGGCTTCTCACTTCCACTTTCCACCTGCTGTTCACATTCGCTGTTTGGATTCACTTTGATTTAAACAACAACAAAAGTAGCTTCTAAAGAAATAAACCAAACGCCGGAAATCTCCAGGTAATGTCGGCCAGACCTGGAGAGGCAGGGAGTCCTCACCTTAATGCCCGTCACCTCTTTCCAGACCCAGATGAAGAGGGGCGAGAAGGTGGAGACCACCAGGACGCTGGTGAAGCGGCGCTTAATGACCGCGGGGTGGTCCCTAAAAAGGAGGAAAAGCCAAGTCTGAAAAAGTCCCCCCAAAATCAGGAAGGGAAAGGGGGGGGATATTATGCAGTGCAGACTAAAACTGATCTGTTAATTCACAAGACCCCGTTGACCCGGAGAAAGGAAGGAAAAATCCCGGGTTAACTTCAGCCTCGGGTGGGTTTCCCCGTCGCAGAGAAGCTCAAGGCAACAAGCGGCCCCTTCCCCAATTTCTGCAAAGGGGCTTCAATAGACAATTCCACCCCCGCCCCCCAAGGACAACCTGGCGCGTTTCCAGGAGGGGAAAGACCCCCAGCCTCTTGCAGGGGATCCAAGCCAGGCTGAGGGTGGGGGGCTGCAGCTCCCCCACCCACCACAGCCCCTCCCCAGCTTTCCCGCTCTCCCCCGGCCTCACCTGGGCAGGTGGCTCTTCCAGACGTAGAGGCTGCCCACGTAGGAGCAGGCCAGGCCGAGGCAGGAGAAGAGCGAGGCCCAGCAGAGCCCCGGCCCGGCGCCCCCCGACCCTTCCTCGCCCTCCGCCGACATCGGGGCGATGCAAGAGGAGCGCAGCTCAGCCCGGCCGCCCAGGCGAGGCAGGCAGGCGGGCAGGGCCGCGTGGGGAGCCTCCGCCTCCCAGGCGCGGAAGAGGAAGCCGGGCAGCCGAGGGGAGGGAAGCGGCGGGCCGGGCTGCCCTGCTGCGGGGATTGCGGCAGAGAGACCCCGGCCCGGGCCAGGCGGGCATCCCGCCCCCTGCCAGCGATTCCCGCCAGCCCAGGCGACCCCCGCCTCCTCCTCCTCGGCCCGCCTCCCTTCGGCTCAGCCGGGGTCGGCACGTTGCTGGGACGCCCCCGGCTGGCTCCGCCGTTACGCAACCCGCCAACGCCGCTTCTCGCCTTGAGCTTCTAAAAGCATTGGGAAAAAGGTCCCGCCATGTCGCCTGGCACCGCTAGGGGGCGGCAGATGCCTGCCTCGGCGCACCTTTGGGGAAGCTAAGTAGGGTCGGGTCCGGTTTAGGAACGGAGGGGCATCAGGAAAGCACCTTCCTCCATAGCAATAACCCTTAGACTTCTATCCCGCTTCACAGTGTCTTTCCAGCCCTCTCTAAGCGGTTTACAGAGCCAGCCTTTTGCCCCCAACAATCTGGGTCCTCATTTTACCCACCTTGGAAGGACGTAAGGCTTGAGCTGGTCAGGATTGAACTGTTGGCAGTGTGCAGAGTTAGCCTGGGGTACTAATCACTGGGAGGGAGGGAGGGAGGGAGGGAGGGAGGGAAGGAAGGAAGGAAGGAAGGAAGGAAGGACTAGCAATAGCCCTTAGACTTATATACCGCTTCACAGTGCTTTCCAGCCCTCTGTAAGCAGTTTACCAACTCAACCTCTTGCCCCCAACTATCTGGGTCCTCATTTGACCCACCTCGGAAGGATGGAAGGCTGAGTCAACCTTGAGTTGGTCAGGATCAAACTGCTGGCAGTTGGCAGAGTTAGCCTGGGGTACTAATCACTGGGAAGGAGGGAGGGAGGAAGGAAGGACAGACTAGCAATAGCCCTTAGACTTATATCCTGCTTCACGGTGCTTTCCAGCCCTCTCTAAGCGGTTTACCGAGTCAGCTTCTCCCCCCCCCCCAACAATCTGGGTCCTCATTTGACCCACCTCGGAAGGACGGAAGGCTGAGTCGACCTTGAGCCTGGCGAGATTCGAACTGCCAAATTGCAGGCAGCCGGCAGGCAGCAGAAGGAGCCTGCATACTGCACTCTCACCACTGCACCACCTCAACTTAATGTGGTTTGTTTAGTGATCGTCCGAAGTTACAAGGGCACTGACAAAATTTGACTTAGGACCAATTTTCACACTTACGACTGTTGCCACACGTGATTTACATTCGGATGCTCGATCACTGACTGGTATTTATGACGGTCGCGGTGTCCCGGGGTCACGTGATTCCCGTTTTGCCACCTTCTGACAAGCAAAGAGGGTTTCGATTCCCAGAATCCCCCAGCCAGCCTGCTTTAAGAGGGGAGGACTTCAACTCCCAGGATTCCTGAGGCCGCATGAGAGTTGACGTCCACTCTCATCTTAAAACGTGTTGATAGGGAAATTCTGGGAGTTGACGTCCACCCTTCTTCAAGTGCCCGAGGTTGAGAAATACGACTCTAGGGAAAGCATTGTGCTCATTCTTTAGTAGAAGAGACCAAGAGACGGTTAACAACTTTCTTTTTCATTTATTGCCTTGTCCGAGACGCTCCAAAGCACCCGGGAATTCCATGAACGGAACAGGAATGGCCGTTTCAGGAAGTCCACTTGGCCATGTTGAGGACCTCCTGAGCCCAAAAGTCCTCCTCCTGCAAGAGAAAGACAGAAAGTCCAAAGGGAAAGCAGCTTTGAATTATGTTAAAAGCAAAGTCACCTGTCAGGCTAAGCCCGTCTCAATTTAATAGAATATAAGAGTTGGAAGGGACCTTGGAGGTCTTCTAGTCCAACCCCCTGCTCAAGCAGGAAACCCTATATCATTTCAGACAAACGGTCGCCCAATCTCTTCTGAAAAACCTCCAGGGTTTTAAACTTCTGGAGGCAAGTCATTCCACTGATTGTTCTCACGGACAAAAAGTTTCTCCTTAGTTCCAATTTGCTTCTCTTCTTCATTAATTTCTTGTCTGGTGCTCTGGTCCAGGTGCTTTGGAAAATAGGTTGACCCCCCCCTCCTCCTCCTCTCTGTGGCAGCCCCTCAAATATTGGAAGATGCTCTCCTGTCTCCCCTGGTCCTTCTCTTCCCTAGACTGGCCAGGCCCAGTTCCTGCAACCGTCCATGGTGTGTTTTAGCCTCCAGTCCAGTGGTGGGTTCTGGATCCCGTTCCATGAGCCTCCGTCACGCTCCAGCTGCTCAGGGGAGCATTGCACAGGCGCTGTACATGCCGTGCGTGGAAGCACCGAAGACTTTAAAGACAGGTAAGGAGGGCGGGCAGGCGGGTGGGTCTTTTGGAGCAGCATACCAGAGCGGTACCCTGTGCTCCAGGCAGGCTCCGGTATGCCTGTACCGGGGTGTACCACCTGCAACCCACCACTGCTCCTGTCCCCTCAGATAAGACAGACAGACAGACAGACAGACAGACAGAC